ATTTATTCCATGATAAGGAATAAATCTAACTCATCAACTCCGCAAGTGGTAAGAGTGAGGAAAAAGATGTAAGATTTGTTAGATTTAGGATTAGTTTGTTCGTGATCCATTAATTTCATGATTTAATCAGGATATATATAGCTGTGAATCTATGTTAATATAGAGTTCATATTTTGATATAAAGGCACTTGAGTTAGTTAGGATTTGAAATCAATGCTGTAGACTGTAGTTCTGATATACAACAATTTTAATGTCTAGATACTAGATAGGGTTTCAAATAGATACAAGGCTGGGATATAGTTCGGCGCAGAGGTTGGGGTCCAACTGTAAATTCGGAAGGAAAACGTAAAGATATAGTTATTATCTGTAAATGTAGTGCTCTTGAAAATAGGGACTAAATAAATTAAATAGATATAGGATAAGTTCATGGTCTCATAGGGTATAATGATGGTAGTACATGTATAAGTTTAAACATCTGCTATATAGAAATTAAAGCAATCGAGGACAATATATAATACTAATATTACCATTTTACTTAATCTACATGTGTAAAATTATTACTTCAAACATAATTGGCTAAAAAGAGATAATCAATCTACTTAAATATTCCTAGTTATCACATTGCTACCCAAACAATAAATATGGAAATTCAGTTAAAACATTTGTCACTATGTCTCCATATCTAGAAAAATAAGAAATAGGAGAAAAAATTTTCTGAAATGTGAGGAACAATTTCCATAAGGAAAAAATATTCGCCTACTGGGTGATCCAAGTATGCTTTAGATATTCGTGAGTTAACCTCCCATGATACAATAGAATTTTTGAATTATAACATAAATTTCACGTCAACCGAACAATATTTTTAACTTACACATAGACTATGGGTGTTGCTACATGGACCCAAATAAAGGACTCAAGGCATGGAACAGGTGAGATGTCACCATCCGGTTGCATGATGTACTGTTCATGAGCAGTGAAGGATTAAGAAATTTTGGTTATTGGGAACAAGACTACAAGTCTATAATTCTTCGATCGGCAGTCCGCAGGGATTGGTGCCTTTGTAATCGACAACCAAAACTTGCAACAGAAAATACTCACAAGCCGCGATTACAGAAGCAGAGAGCATGGTGTTTCAGAATTTAGAGGAAATAATCGATGGCAAATTTAGGGATTGATTTTGGGTAAAGGGATTTGGTTTGACCTATTTGGATGTTTATTTTCAAACATCTGAGAGTCTTGGGATCAACATGATCAAATAGGTGTGTCCATCCGGGCCGGGCAAAACCGGAGCCCGGACCCGGACCCGGGTACCCCGAGCCGGGTTCCGGGCCGGCCCGGTTTATTATTATTTTTAATTATATTTAAAATTTAAATTATACAAAAAAACAAAAAAAAATTAATAAAAATAATAATTTTATTAATCACTTAAAATGACATAAATTACAAATAAAAAATTATAAAAAAAATTCTTTATTAATAATTACAAGTATAAATTTATTTTGGAATTCATCGTATCACAATAGATAAGTACATCCCAATTAGGTTTTTTTAAATTTCTTTTCATTTCTTTTTTTTATAAAAAATGCTAAAAATTAGTTTAACATTATTATATTTTATATAATTATGTATTAGTATATACTTACAAATTATTATGTAACTATATATTATATATACATATATTATATGTAAATATATTGTATATATTTATAAGTTATAACTTGAGAGAGAGAGAGAATCGCATAAGTAGCCTGCCCGTTGGGCCAATGGGGAAGAAGTAGCCGTTGTAATATACTATACTTATATATACTTATATACTAAGAGAGAAAGTATACACACACACATATATAAAAGAGTATACTTATATAATAGGGAGTATACATATATAAGAGAGTATATATATATATATATATATATATATACACACACACATATATTATACATATATAAGAGAGTGTATACTTATATATACTTATATAAGAGAGAGTATACATATATAAGAGAGAGTATACTTATATATACATACATACATACATTATACATATATAAGAGAGAGTATTCTTATATATACTTATATAAGAGAAAGTATACTTATATATACTTATACATATATATACTTATATAAGAGAGAGTATACTTATATATACTTATATACTAAGAGAGAGTATATATATACACACATATGACATATTATACATATATAGAAATATATTATATAAGAGAGAGTATACATATATAAGAGAGAGTATACTTATACATACATATATACTAAGAGAGAGAGTATATACATACATACATACATACATACATTATATATATATAAGAGAGAGTATTCTTATATATTCTTATATAAGAGAAAGTATACTTATATATACTTATACATATATATACTTACATAAGAGAGAGTATACTTATATATACTTATATACTAAGAGAGAGTATATATACTTACATAAGAGAGAGTATATATACACACATATGACATATTATACATATATAGAAATATATTATATAAGAGAGAGTATACATATATAAGAGAGAGTATACTTATATATACATATATACTAAGAGAGAGAGTATATATATATACACACATATATTATACATATATAAGAGAGTGTATACTTATATATACTTATATAAGAGAGAGTATACATATATAAGAGAGAGTATACTTATATATACTTATATACTAAGAGAGAGAGTATACTTATATAAGAGGGAGTATATATATATAAGAGAGAGTATACTTATATATACATATATACTAAGAGAGAGTATATATATATATACATACATACATTATACATATATAAGAGAGAGTATTCTTATATATACTTATATAAGAGAAAGTATACTTATATATACTTATACATATATATACTTATATAAGAGAGAGTATACTTATATATACTTATATACTAAGAGAGAGCATATATATACGTACACATATGACATATTATACATATATAGAAATATATTATATAAGAGAGAGTATACATATATAAGAGAGAGTATACTTATATATACATATATACTAAGAGAGAGAGTATATATATACATACATACATACATTATACATATATAAGAGAGAGTATTCTTATATATACTTATATAAGAGAAAGTATACTTATATATACTTATACATATATATACTTATATAAGAGAGAGTATACTTATATATACTTATATACTAAGAGAGAGTATATATATACACACATATGACATATTATACATATATAGAAATATATTATATAAGAGAGAGTATACATATATAAGAGAGAGTATACTTATATATACATATATACTAAGAGAGAGAGTATATATATACATACATACATACAT